TCCCCCTAAGAACCTGTAACTTTATTTGTCTGGAAATGGCCTCTCTGACTTGAGGTTGGGACTCCCTCTGAGGCTCATCTGAAAGCTGACGGACGGACAGACGGACATTCTTGAGTCATTACCCACCCATTGCAGGCTGCTCAAGGGGCTGTAGACTGCTCCTTGACAAGAAGGCGAGAATGCCCTGGACCAGACCTCCACACAGACTTCTAAGTTCCCCTCCTATCTCATCCAGGAACACTGGCTTTTCTGTGACGCCTGCACACAAAGCTCAAGGCCTGTGGCTAGGTATGCACACCCCCATGGAGGGCCTCACCCTCCCTGGAGAAATGAGGGGATAACGGGGGTGGGGGGGTTGGGGGAGGGCACGGTAAGAGGGGAGGGAATGGGAGAGGGACCTGGAACTGACTTGTGAAGCAACCTTGTTTCTTATCTAAATTTAAACTGGAAAATAAAATTAAAAAAAAAAAAAGACTCCTCCGGCTACTGTGGTCTGAGGTTCCACAAGATTCCAAAGGGGCTTCCTTTGTACCCAAATCTAAGCAAGGACAGGGTTTGAAACCCCAGCGTGTCTGGAAGTGAGCTGTTACCAGCACTCCATAAAGAAAAAGCTGAGGATCTGGACACCCAGGCTATTGGCAGCCACAAGATGTTGGTACTGCAGCTTCGTTGCTCCCGGGACACCACAGCTTGCCCATGGCTGGTTTGGACACAGCAGCAAAAATCAGGGACATCCTGGGAGACGGTCTCCTGTCCAAGGGACCCATGGGCATCCTCACCGACTTCTGTATCTTCTAATGTAGGGATAAAAAAGTTTGATCAGGCCTTCTTGGTTAGTTAGGGTTTTTGGAATAGCCTTTTCAAGCCAAATTACATCTAGAAGTTTGGGTGCTTGCTATATTAAAACTTAGAGTTAAGCTGGGTGATGGTGGCGCACGCCTTTAAACCCAGCACTTAGGAGGCAGAGGCAGGTGGATCTCAATGAGTTCAAGGCCAGCCTTGTCTACCAGCAAGCTCCAGGACAGGCTCCAAAGCTATACAGAAACCCTGTCTCAAAAAACAAACAAACACACAAACTTAGAGCTAGATTTGTTTTGGTAGGGAATATTTACACAGATAAGGGCAAGTTCCTGGGTCCATAGAAAAACCTGACCTGTGGTTGTTTCCTCTGGCCACACACAGTGAATGTCACTTGCCAGACAGTCTGGGGGTGAGGTAACAGCAGTGAATCTGGAGTTGAAACTCAGCCTTGCTCCAGCACCCATCTCCAGGAGGCAGCCAGTGTCTTCCCAGGGTGAGATCCCAGCAATGTACGGAGCCAACCACATGCCTCTTACTAGAGGCCTGGCCTGCCCTGAGCCCCTCAGCCCTGTGAGGTTGCCAGAAGAAGTTCTTGGGGACATAAAGCAGCTAAGGTCTCCATGCTGGGAATAGCAAGCCTTTGCATGACCTTCTAGCATGGTAAGAGGTTGGGGTTGTCCTGAGGTACTCATGCCTGGCTACAGCTGCCAATCACAATTGCTGTGCTGCACACGGACAGAGTCCCGAGTGGCTGTCTAGCCACAGACCCCAAAGATAGAATCAGAGAGACTTGAAGCTTATTCTTTTGCCCCAGGTAACTTCAGTAGACCCGAGACAGGAACAAGGCCTCTGTGCTCTGGGGTGACCCATTAATGTGGGCCGGGTGTTCAGAATTTGGAGGAGGCCAGTACAGCAGCTGGCACAGCACTGCTGGGCTGGGCAGACAGACAGCTGTCCTGAAGGCTGAGAGCTCAGCATTCCATGCGTGTCAGCACCTCTATAAAACCCAGCCACTCCCTCAGCTGAGGGGCTAGGGAAGGGGGGACCAACTGGTCAGCCCTCACTACGGGCTTTATGGTCTAGAGGCTGGCCCTTACTCGGTCCCGCTGGGACCATGCCACCTGCTGGGTGGAGAAGAGATGCCACCTGGGACCCTTGGCATGGTCATACCAAGAGTCCACTGGGCCCACTCATGAACCAAGACATGAAGGCAGCCGCTCTGGCCCCTCGGGCCTCATAAGACAAAGGAAAAGAAGTGGCAAGGCCAGGCAGTCTGATATGGCTGGGTGACCTTGAGTGAGACCTTGGACCTCAGTCTTTTCCTTGAAAATGGGAAAGGCAGAGGTTTGCACTTGCTGGTTGCCAAAAGGCCTGTGAGGCACAGCATGAAGACCTCTCTGCATGTGGCCAGCCCTGGACAAACCCTGCATGTATATGTGATTTTCAAGACCTATGCGCACACGCGGTGCCATGGGAAAGCAGCCACACTCTGAACCAGGCAGTGTCCTGCAGGGCGCCCATGGTTTGGGGACACAGCTGTTGGGTCTGTTGAGCTAAGGTACAGAGCAGGTAGGGGGCTGGCACGTGGGGGCTTCAATGCAGAAAGGACCAGGGTAGCTCGCTCCTGTACCTTTTGGCCTTGAACCTGCCCAGGTGGACCCTTGGCCCCTTTCCTATGTATCCAGAGGAACACCTCCTCCCAAAACAGCTTCCTGTCCTTTCTACTCTCCGTATCTCAACCCAGCCCCCAGGCAAATCACTTCCCCTGCTCCAGAGAGACCCAAGGGTCATTTCAGTCCTGTTCAAGACTGGATGCTTTCTCCAGAGCCAGCTGGTCTGTGGCCAGGCAGCCAGGCTGGGACGGGAGCCACACACGTCCACCCCCTCGGAAGGCAGCTTACAGCCCAGTCTCATGTGGGGGCTCTCCTGCTGCCCCAAGCCCAGCCACCTGTCGCCCTGCTTTGGGACATCTCTTCAGCCCCTTCCTCTTTAACGGCTATAACATACGTACAGCTCCACTTCCTTCTCCTCACCCCCACCGCCCCCCTTCTCTCTCTTCCTGAAGCTTACGGCCTGGCTTGGAGTTCATAGCTGCAATACACACACACACTCATGCTCATACCCACACATGCGCACGCGCACGCACAGCTGTGGAATGTTTTGCTGCTTCTGGGGTTTACGGCTCTGGGACATGTGCTTCTTGTACCTCCCCAAGTACCTGACGTCTAGTCTATCCCTTCTCCCCCTTGAACTCTTGTGGGGACCTGAGGCTGAGTTAGAACTGTGGACCAGTGAGGAGAGAAGTGAGTCATGAGAGACCCCCACCTGAGTTCCTCAGGGGCAACCATGAATCTCCCCAGCCCCCATCACCAGCGCTCATATAGCAGGGACTGGTTTTCCCATTTGGAGAGGGAACTGGCCCCTAGAAAGCCAGACTGAAATCAGCCCCACCTCCCTGGATTTTCATTCATTCTTTTAACAGCCATTCATTCCTCTGGTATTTGTTGAAGACCCACAAAATACTAGGTTGGGCCTGAAGGGGCTATGGCAGGGAGCCAGGCAGACAGATCCCCTGCTCAAGACCCAAGCAGTTCAACACCAGCATCTCCATCTAAGTGGTGAGTACCGGGATAGGAGGGATGTGGGGTTGGGGGGGCAGAGGAAGAGTGAAGGAACCCGTTGGCTTACTATCTGTCAATCACAGAAGCCTTCAACACAGACACACTGTCCAGGCTGGGAGTGAACAAGGCCTTAGCCAGAAAAGGGGACGGGAAGTGCTGTCCTGCGGCGGAAGCTGGGGAGATGCTGTATCTGAGACAGGACAGTCTAGCGTGTGCAAGGGCTGGACTGCACATCTAGGTAAGGCTACGGGACAGCTTGGGGTCTCTTTGAGTAATTAAGCTTCCTCCCGGGACTGAGAGAACCTTGGAAACGACTTAAGCAAAATGACAGAACCAGGTGTCTCAAGTCGGGTATTTCATTGTGAGCAGGAGAAATGGCCCTCAGACAATGCCAGACAAGGTGCTTCCAGAAAGGGATGTGGGAGCTGGAAGTTGAGTAGGGGTGGAGCAGCCAGGCCTCACAGAGATGGGAAGCCCACAGCCTGTCCTGGGGGAGGCCTCTAAGGTGAGCCTGCTGTAACTCCAGGTCTAGATACCAAGGGAAGGGAAGTAGGGGACAGCCTTCTGGCCCATCCAGCCTCCAGAGGAACTGCAGTGAAAGAGTGCGGACAGATCTCAGGGACATTGTACAGGTGCAACAAAAGGAGCCGAACACCAAAGAACACACACCGCTCAGTGATCCACTATTAAGTTCTAATGCAGTCAGGCCCAGGCAGAAATCAACAATGGTGACTGCCTCTGCTAGGGAACAGGGAACAGCATACCAGAAAGGGCATAAAGGAGTGTCCTGTCCCAGAGCCCTGGGGGTGAACACTGAGGGTCACACAGGTGTGGGCACCTGCCACAACCCTGCAACCTATGGAATTAAACCCTGTGCATAGTGACAGATGGCAACAGAAGCTGATCACAAATAAACCGGAGAGAAAGCTGGCCTGAGAAGCTCAGACCACACACCCGTTGTTCCTTGGCTGGGGGCTGAGGGGTCCCTGCCAGACAGTTCCCCTAAGACATTCTGCAAAAGGAGAAGGTGATTTCCTGAAGTCAGGCCAAGGAGCTGTTTAAAGGAAGGAATGAGAGCTTAAAGGCCAGACAACAGCTTTGGAACGGAGAAGGTCCTGTCTGCTGGTTAGAGGTAAGAAACAATGAAACTCAGCAGCCAAGGCTGGTGTAAGAGGTTTGGTTAAAAGTGCCGGTGAGTTGGTGAGCCGTGAAGTTTGTGCGCTGGACCTTTCATTGAAGAGACTTGGCTAAATTTTAAGTTTGCTCACCTTTTGCACCCCTGTGACATGTGACCCAAATAGCAGCACCCTTGACATGTTGATCCTGGGACAAGGACCTGGATGGAAAATAACACAAAGGATTGAGGGTCATTTGCAGGAACTTGCCCCCGAAGAGTGTTACCTTCAAAGGAAGAAATATACTTCATTGAGGGAATTCCTCAGAGAGAGGGGGAGGGGGAGGGGAAGAGAGAGAGAGAGAGAGAGAGAACCAGAGGCAAGTGTGTACCACATGGTATGGTACATCAGCTGTTGGAGCTCTCCACGTGTCGCTGGACACATGCTGACTTGGAGCACTTAAGCCCCGCTTGTGGGTGCTGCCACAGCTGCCGCCAGGGCCTCTGAAGACGTGAAGAAGTGGGCTCTCCTTCCTCCTGCCCTGGAGACCAGAAAGGCCTTCGCCTCCTTCTCCCCAGCCAGCGCCTTCCTCCCGGCCCATGGGGACAGTAGTAGCCAAACTGCTCCTGCCTACCCTCAGCAGCCTGGCCTTCCTCCCCACGGTGAGCATCGCTGCCAAGAGGCAGTTTTACATGGAGGCCATGGTCTATCTCTTCACCATGTTCTTCGTGGCGGTAAGTGGGGCCCTAGGAGAAAGACCTCACGGGGAGGGTCACCACCCCTGTCCTGTGCCAGGTGCTGGAAGCGAGAGGCTATGTGTGGGGGTGTCCTAGTGACTGGAAGGAGGGGGTTCCTGGAGTCTGTCTTCCTCTATGGACCTCGGTTTCTCCATCTGCGCCAGGAATTTGGGAGGGGGGAGTGGCTGACCCATGTGACTGAAGTCAAGTCCCTGATGACCCCTGCCGGTTAATTGAGGATGATGTTTACAGGTGGCTTCTTCTTGTGGCTCCCACACCCTCCTCCCCGCCAACTTTGTCCTGGGAGCTGCTGAGCTGGGGAGGACAGGGGGTAAGTGAGCAGGCCTAGGAATGGAACCACTAGATTCAGGGAAGGTAGAGGGCCTGGGTGGACCTGACTTCAGAATTCGGAACTACCTCCATTGAGGAGGGCCAGCCTCTCTCTGAGTCCTTTCTTTCTCTTCCTGGTGTGTGTGTGTGTGTGTGTGTGTGTGTGTGTGTGTGTGTGTGTGTGTCTGTCTGTCTGTCTGTCTGTCTGTCTGCCGGCCGGCCGGCCTGCCTCTGAGTTCCCTCTCCCCTCTGTTCCCAGGTAGCATCCTGGAGTGACTCTTCTGTCTTTCAGGCGCATGTCTGGCACTGCTTCGCTGGCTGCCTTTTGTCAAGGCCTCTCCTTCTCCTCACCCCCACGGTGTGTCTCTCACCGGCTCTGTGTCTAGTTTGCTCTCTGCCTCTGTCTGCCTCCCCCCTTCTTTCTGTCTGTACCCAGCTCTTTCAATTTCTAGAATTGCACCCCCGTGGCGTTCGGCCTCCTCTTCTCCCTGCTCTGTTCTCCTCTCATTTCTTCTTCTGGTCCTCTGTATCTGGCTTTATCTGCCTGTCCATCCAACTTGCTCTGTCTGTCTACCTAGTTACAGGGTCATCTACCGTCTATTCATCTATCATTTGTCTTGTTCTAGTGTACCTAATCATCATCTGTCACCTGTCTATCATCTGCCTAACCAACCACCTCTCCCTGTCCATTCACCTTCCATCTCTCCCTCTCTGTCATGAAGCCCTCCTATCACTATGCCGCTGCGTCCTCCTAAGTTCCCCTCACACTGGTCCTCACTGCTGTACTGGGGGTCACTCCTCCATCTTCCTCACTGCTGTACCAGGGGTCACTCCTCCATCTTCCTCACTGCTGTACCGGGGGTCACTGCATCTTCCTCACGGCTCCATAACCTTTGCTTTTGTTTCCCCTCTCATCATACCCACCTCAGTAGTCGCTATGCTGTGTGACCCACACGTTGGTAGGACACAGGCTCAGGGTTGGCAAGCAGCCTGTTAGTCTCCTCCTTAAGGCAGGGGCAAGCCTTTGGGAAACAGTATCCAGTGCCTCTTCCAGCAGTGGGCATGAGCATGGAGTATGTGGGGGGTTTCAGTAGGCGTGAGCATGGAGTATGTGGGGGGTTCCAGTGGGCATGAGCATGGAGTACGTGGGGGTTTCAGTGGGCGTGAGCATGGAGTATGTGGGGGGTTTCAGTGGGCGTGAGCATGGAGTATGTGGGGGTTTCAGTGGGCATGAGCATGGAGTATGTGGGGGTTTCAGTGGGCGTGAGCATGGAGTATGTGGGGGTTTCAGTGGGCATGAGCATGGAGTATGTGGGGGGTTTCAGTGGGCATGAGCATGGAGTACGTGGGGGGTTTCAGTGGGCGTGAGCATGGAGTACGTGGGGGTTTCAGTGGGCGTGAGCATGGAGTACGTGGGGGTTTCAGTGGGCGTGAGCATGGAGTATGTGGGGGGTTTCAGTGGGCGTGAGCATGGAGTATGTGGGGGGTTTCAGTGGGCGTGAGCATGGAGTATGTGGGGGGTTTCAGTGGGCGTGAGCATGGAGTACGTGGGGGTTTCAGTGGGCGTGAGCATGGAGTATGTGGGGGGTTTCAGTGGGCGTGAGCATGGAGTATGTGGGGGGTTTCAGTGGGCGTGAGCATGGAGTATGTGGGGGGTTTCAGTGGGCGTGAGCATGGAGTATGTGGGGGGTTTCAGTGGGCGTGAGCATGGAGTATGTGGGGGTTTCAGTGGGCGTGAGCATGGAGTACGTGGGGTTACTCAGCCGGCTGCGAGTGAGTGAAGCCGCCAGCACACACATGTGTGTGCTCACAAACCACTCCCTATCCTGAATAAGCCAGAGTGACTTTCTGGTGGTAAGAGGAGCCGCCAGTGCTTGCGGGCTGACAATAGCCAGAGAGGAGCTGGCACATGTCTGCCCCCTGGTTGTGATGGTCCCATGGGTAACAGTGAGGTTTTCCAAGGAACTGGAAGCTCTAGGACTCCGAGTTCACTTTGGGAGGGAAAGACATTAGGTTAAAGACAAGCCACAGGCAGCAACCGTGGTGGGAAGGGGCCCAGCATCACCCGTGAGTGATTCAGGGTAGTGATTTGCATTTGATAGAAGAGGAAACTGAGTCTCAGAGAAGCTGGGCCACCCAAGTCACCATGCTGTCATTTGTGCCTCATGAAACCTGGCCAATGTCAGAGCCAAGATGAGACCGCAAGGTCAGAAACAGAAGCCAGGTGCCCAATGCCCATGTTAGTTATAGCCCAGCAACTCACAGGCCCCAGTTATGTCACCCCTGCCCGTGCTGGCCTACAGCTGCCTCTGTACCAGCCTTAGAGGCCCACCCTGCCCCACCCCACCCAGAGTGGCAGGGCCAGCTGTCTCCTATGACAAATGTCCCCTGGCCTCAAAGCCACAGTCTGTCCTCACAGAGTTCTGCCTTCCACAGGCTCCTCCAGGACCCTCCATGGCAACCACCAGTTGTGTGGTGTGCTGATGCCCAATACAAGAATGACTCTTGGTGTCAGTTACCCGAGAGTGGGCCCGATTTGTTCCAAAGAGCTCTGCTCTCTCTTGCTCTAGTCTCATCATCATCTAATCTAAAAGCAGGTTCTAATCTTGGACAGCAGCGTCCTCTCCACATGCTGAACAGCACAGCAAACAGGCTAAAGAAGAGTGAGGGATCTGAGTCTGAATCTTTTACAGGAGTCTCACGGGGGAGACAGCTGTTTCTCTGGTCCTGTTGACTCAAGAGCACACCAAGCCTCAATCAGACATGATCATTCTACACCCACATGTTGGTTACAACATGGGGTTCCTTGGGGGGAGAGCATGGATGTGGCACATGCTTTCAAAGCCTTGCTGATTTTAGCATGTGGTCTCAGCTCTGCATAAGCATATACTGTTCTGAGTCAGGAGCATTACAGAGTCACAGAGGAGAAATACAGACTATAGAACAGTCAGAGCTTATGCATGCATCTGAGCTTGTAGGACTCAGTTACACTAGAAATTCACAGATTGATTGATTGATTGATTATTTGATTGCCCTGCTTTTCTCAAAGGTGAGTTAATTCTGACCAGGGTGAGCACAGCATTCTAAATGATCTCAAAGCAGAATATTAACTTGGCGCCAGGTTTGGTTTGTAAAGGCAAACTTGTAACAGCATTTCCCAGAAACATTATTCCCACGGAGAGGGGCACCGTGAGATGCAGTACCATCAGGGTCCCCACAGAACAGGTGCTCTCGCTCCATTGGACAGAGGAGGCCGTGAGAGAGCAGCCTCTTGCTTGTGCCCCTCTGCCAGATCTACTGGGCTAACAGCGGGGTTGGAGCTCTTGCCACACCCAGTTATGTCCTAGCCCAGCCCCAGTTGGGCCAAATCCACCTGCCTCTGGGGAAGGAGTGTACTCATCACTGCCTCGCCCTTGCCTCCTGGGGCAGGAGGTGCCCCAGGGAAGTTCACAGATCCCAAAAGAACCTCAGGGCTTGAGGACATAGACCCCCTGCTGTAAAGCCCCCCCCCTCTGGCCCCATACACAGGCAAGTACTCTATGCTGGGATCCAGCCTAACTGAGGCTCTTCTGTTCCTCAGGGGGAAAAGTAGAGGAGATGTTTCCCAGAATCTCACAGCGAGTGAGCTTTACTCGTTTACGGGGCCTATGCAACAAAAGGGAGCACAGATGTTACAGATGGTGGACTCAGGTGGGGTTGAGTGACGTGGCTTTGTAAGGAGCTGGAAAGAGCGGGAGCCGGGCCCATAGCTGAGCCTCTTTCCTACTCCGCTTGGCAGCCTTGACCTGGCCGCACCTGAAGCTTGTCTTCCCCTGAACAGACAGAGCTCACACCTGGGTGGTTAGACGCCTCTTTGGCAATGTCCCTTCCAAAGGGTATAGTACCCAAAGCTCAAGGCAGCATCAAAGTTCTGAGTCGTGCTGACCCAACGCAGAAGTTGGATGCCCCCTCCCTTCCCCTGTCTACTGAATGACAGTCCACTGCAACTGCGATCAGCAGGAGGTCTCTGAGCTTCTAAATCGGGGCCCCACGTGTTTGACTGACACATCCATCATCCAGGGTCCTCAGCCCCCTGTGGTGCCCCTGCTGCCTCCAGACAAGGGCTGTCTTCCAGCTTGCCTGCTCCCTCCTGCTGAGCTGGGCTTACCAAGAGACGATTGTGCAGGCTCCCGGGCCTGTTTGTACCAGTCGCACTTGTCAAAATAATTATGTCATGTAATTAAATATTACTTAAAATGATGAAATGCGAAGCAAAAGGAGAGAGAGTTGTTTTCTGTAAGAAATAAGTTGGCTGCTTGGAAATATTTCATATAGGGCCTTTTGCTTGAAAGCAAATCTATCCAGCTACACATCAGGAACAGGCCTGCCAGAGCGTGGGGGAGACGTGGAGGAAGAGGATGGCGGAATCAGCCCCTGCTTGCGGGAGTCTGAGGTCTTCCTCCTTTTCAAAGAGAGAGTGGTCCAGGGTAAAAGGCTCACATCCAAAGATTGACACGGGAACACTTCCAGTCAACCCAGGGGCAAAGGGTGTGCCTGAGTGATATTTTAGGGTCCCCTCCTCAGCAGGCTTCATCTGAGTGACTGCAGCTTTGGGCCAGTGGTAAGAGAGTCTGAAAGTGACATTTACTTCCGGGCCTGATGGACTCACCTGTTTAATTTCCACAAGGCCTAGCCAGGGGGAGTATTCAATTGTGTGCCCTGATAATATGGGGAAGCTGACGCACAGAGCCATTGAGGTCAGGTCTCGAGGCTAGCGAGGGGCCTGTGGCTAGGGACCAGTTCTCACCCACCACCGATGCCTGCGGCCTGCTGACCTTGCGCGCTTTCCCCTGCAGTTCTCCCATGCCTGCGACGGGCCTGGCTTGTCTGTGCTGTGCTTCATGCGCCGTGACATCCTGGAGTACTTCAGCATCTATGGGACGGCCCTGAGCATGTGGGTCTCACTGATGGGTGAGTGGCTATCTCTGCTGGGGGGTGGGAGCCATTCCTCAACACCAGCCAGCACCTGCCCACCTCTGAGATCCTCTGCCTCCTTTCCGCTTTGCGGAGCCAGCCAACGGCTTACTCTACTGAAAGAAACACGCTCGTTCCTTAGAGGCCTGTGCTCTTACTTTTCCCATCCCTAGGTGGTTCTTGTAAGGAGTCCTTGTGACATTTGCAAAGCAAAGACACTCACGAGAGAGGGGGAAGGCGTTCCCACACACAGACCTACAGAGACCACCGATGCCCTCAGTTCAGGGACTTTCCCTCCCAGAACATCCTCCGGGCTCAAGGGAACATTAGCTCTTATGGGTCATCTTCAGCTCTGGGTTTTAGGAAGGTGGGCCACTCAAAATCCTCATCTCGGATCTGGGGGTGCAGCTCAGAGGTAGAGCTCTGGCCTGATGAGCAAGGTTCCATCTCCAGCACCGTGAAAAAATTGAAAGAGAATGAAAGAAAGAAGGAAGGAAGGGGGCTGGAGAGATGGCTCAGAGGTTAAGAGCACCGGCTGCTCTTCCAGAGGTCCTGAGTTCAATTCCCAACACCTGCATGGTAGTTCACAGCCATCTAAAATAGGGTCTGATACCCTCTTCTGGCCTGCAGGTATACATGCAGAGAACTCAAACATAAAATGTAAATAAAATTTTTAAAAAAGAAAGAAGGGAGTAGTCTTAGTTAGGATTTCTATGACTGTGAAGAGACACCCTGATCACATCAACTCTTACAAAGGAAAACATTTAATTGGGGCTGGCTTACAGTTCTAGAGGTTTAATCCATTATCATCAGAGCAGGAAGCATGGGGGCATGCAGGCAGACGTGGTGCTGGAGAAGGAGCTGAGAGTCCCTGAATCTGGGTCCGCAGGCAGCAGGAAGAGAATGAGGCACACTATGCCTGGCTTGAGCTTCTGAGACTTCAAAGCCTATGCACAGTGGCATGCTTCCTCCAACAAGACCACACCTACTCCAAAAAGGCCACGCCTCCTAATAGTGCCATTCCCTGTGAGACTATGGGGACCATTTTCTTTCAAACCACCACAGAAGGGAGGAAGGGAGGAAGAAAGCAGGAAGGAAAAAAAGAAGGGAGGGAGGGAAAGAGGCAGAGAGACAGAGGGGGGGATGGAAAGGGAAAGGAAATAAAGAAAAGAAAAGAAAAGGAAGAACCCAAAACCCCTCAACCTTGTTTCTCAGGGGCGCTGTCACAGGGGCCATGTTACCTGAGGGTCCCTCCTGAGACTCAGCCCTATACACCACTCACTCACTCATGTGTCTCTAGTCTTAATACTTTCGTCCCAGGATTCCCAGGAATGACTGATCACTCAGTCCACTGTTTAATTCCACTCTGATCCAGGGAAGCAGCACCCCCTGTTTCCTCTAAATAAAATTCAGACCCCGTGGGGACCAAGGTGGGCCTTCTGGTTCTACGGACTGCGAGGACATCCGATGGGTTCCCAAGGGTGGAGGCCCAGCCAAGGGGAGGGAGGCATCTCACCCCACCCCACCCCCCCAACCCCCGCCCCCGTGCCTCTCTGCAGCCCTGGCCGACTTTGACGAACCCCAGAGGTCAACCTTCACGATGTTCGGTGTCCTTACCATCGCTGTCCGTACTTTTCACGACCGCTGGGGCTATGGGGTGTACTCGGGTCCCATAGGTACGGCCGTCCTCATCATTGCTGTGAAGTGGGTGAGTACTGTGTGTGCCTCGGCTGACAGGCCCCAGGGAACCTACGGCTCTCCCTTGGTTTCTCCTGTACGGAATCCCATACCTCCTGCCCTTACACGCAGGCGGACTAACACAAGAATTGAACCCAAACCCCTAGAATCCCTAAAAACTGTGACTCATGCTTGGACCCTGTTCCCTGCCGGCTCATCAGTAATTAGTAATTACAGGTCCTGGGTAAAGCCAAAACTCCTTTTCTCTGCTCTGTGTCCAAATACCCATAGAGAATGCTTCTAAGCATAGGCACATACATGGCTTTTAGTGAACCCAGCGATGGGGAGGCCACTCTCGTCATCATGGCCATCACTGTCATTGTTTTCATCAGCATTATTATAATTCTGAGGATTAACCCTGGAGGAGGGCCTGGTGTCTGCCCTCTACTCTGCCCTCTACAGTCCTAAGGCCCTCCTGGCAGCAAGGCCTGAAGTCCACCTAAGCTAGCCAGCGTGAACAAGGGTCCTGATGGCAGGATAGACCAGGGATGTCTCCTGGGCACCACTGAGAGCAGTCAGGCCCAAAACACAGACCTGGAAGGCCAGCAGGCCTCAGACCAAGCAGGTGGCGGCCAGAGCCCTAAGTTCACACCACTCCTGTGCATTTTACATGCAGCACCTCTTTGGATCTTGGGGTTCCCCTAAGTAGAATCTCAGCAGGGCAGAGCAGGGCAGGCAGTGCTTCAGGGGGCCCCGATCCCTCTGCAGCAAAGGGAGGACAGGTAAAAGCAGGCAGGGAGCTTCCAAGCTGCCTCTTGCTCGTGCAGCCTCTGAGGAAACCAGGCTTACTGGACTTTTTAGTTAAGGGTGTTAGCCGCACAAAGGTCAGCAGGCAAACCTGCAGCCCCAGTGGGCAGTGGCTGCCGGACTTGGCTTTTCAGGGGGCAACGAGGGGCTTGTATCTCACTGTGATTTGTGTGAAGCTGGCCCTGGCTGACCCTGAAGGCCAGACCTCCTTGGGGCAGAGATGCTGGGGCTATGTACAGTTAATTAACAAGCTGGAATGCGTAAATACGAAGACTCCTTCTGATGCTGCTTCCTTGTCCCGCCCATCATGACCCCTTTGCTGCCCTTGGCCGGATCTGGATCTAACTGGACCTTTTTATTTTTATTTTTAAAGATAGGGTCTCACCTTGTGTCTCTGGCTGACCTCCAAGTCACAGACATCTGCCTGCCTCTGCCTCTGAGTGCTGGGATTAGAGCCCAGCATGCCCATCCTGACTGGATTTTAATGAAGTAAATTAAAATAACAGCATACATGTGCTAGTGTCCCCCACTAAAGCCAGGTTTCCCAGGTCTCTGGTGGGAACGGGAGTGGGAGGGGCTGCAGCATCCCCCACATCTGGGGCAAGGATCCCATCTAGACCACGAGATATGCAGGCGGTTTGGGCTTGCTTCTTGGAATGGGGATGACATTCCTTCCCATGTCTCACCCTTTGGGGAGAAGAAGTATAGGAGCAACACTTAGAGAGCAGAAGCTGAGTTAGCAGAAAGGAGGCATTCCCAGGACAAGGAAGGCCTGTGGGTGACCTCGGATATCGGTCCCCTCTCCGAGCCCCCAGTGTTAAAATTGTGAGATTGACCACACGTGGGCTTCCCAGACCAAGATCACCTGCACTCGGGCGAGTTAGCTGTACCCACAGCACTGACACCATTCACTGAGTCCTCAACTCCTGTTAGCAATGGCAAGTTTTAGAAGGCTGGAAACAGCACCGTATCACCTCACATTTGGTGGTTAAGCCAGCTCTGACCAGCTGTCGATGATGTTTGTGTATCCAATGTGTTCGGTGATGTGTGCAGCCAAGGCTGCTGTCCGGTGCCCTCAGCATGCACCTGGCATGTATAATGCTCTACTGCGCTGAAACCTGAACCATCCTTAGTTTAAAATACCTCTGGGCCGCAAGGGTCTGCATGCCCCAGAGGAACCACAGGTATCCCAGGTATCCCATCTCTTCTGTGTAATACCTCATCTTACCAAGCTTGAACACACACACCAGACCCTCGTGAAAGGCATCAGGGTCTGAGACATCAGGGTTACCAGTAAAGGACCACTTAGCTGGTAAAGCTGATCATATTTGTCTATACCCCACCTAGGTCCCACAGACTGCCACACAAACCACCTGGAGAGGTGCACAGGGCTCATGGGTCCCAAATAAGCTGATATCCTTTCACTGTCTCTGTGGGAGACAGGAGTGCATCAATGGCCTTGCCACTTCCTCAAGAGGCAGCAAGGGCAGTGGGGACCCAGGGAAAACTGGCCCAGAGATTCCCAGCCCTGTCACAGCTTTGCTTCGGGGAGGGGAGGGGGGAGCAATCCTTGCAGAACTGACAAGAGGTGCTCAGGCATGCAGGGGAATGGGGTAGGCACTTCTACCTGAAGACGGGAGGGCATGGCAGTGGGATCTTGCCCAGATGACCCACGCAGGGACCCTTCCCTGTGAGGCACCCCAAGAACCTTCATGTTCTCACCTTGTCCCCTCAGCTGAAGAAGATGAAGGAGAAGAAGGGTCTGTACCCCGACAAGAGCATCTACACTCAGCAGATAGGCCCTGGCCTCTGTTTTGGGGCGCTGGCCCTGATGCTTCGCTTCTTCTTTGAGGTACCAGACCTGTGGGGAGGGCATAGAGCCCTCCAAGCCCTCTGGAAATGGCTCGACTTAACAGAGAAGACAGCAGGTGGTTTTCACAGGGAGGCTCCAAGTCACGCATTCTGCTGTGGCGGGAGTTTGAAGTTGGTACTCCCCCCCCCCCCCGCCCCAATGTATCAGCATCACAGCCTGCGTGGACCCGAGGGTCACAGGGAGTCCCATCAGGCCTTGACTTCAGGAAGTTTGGGTGTCCTGGAAGAGACCGGGGACTGATGCCCATAACCCAGGGGACAGGGAACAGAGGAAGGCAGAGGGTCTTTCTCAGAATGAAATGGCTGGCAGAGGCACCAGATGGCTTAGAGGGCTTAGTTCAGGGAAGGGGCTGAGGCCCAGACTGACTCACTCTTGTCCACAGGAATGGGATTACACCTACGTCCACAGCTTCTACCACTGTGCCCTGGCCATGTCCTTCGTCCTGCTGCTGCCCAAGGTCAACAAGAAGGCCGGGAACGCGGGGGCCCCTGCCAAGCTGACCTTCTCCACCCTCTGCTGCACTTGTATCTGACCCTGTTCTAGGACCCTGGCCTCCTGTCTGGCAGCCCCACCGTTCCCCACAAGATACTTTCTATGCTTTCCCATGTGTATGTCAATGAGAAATGCTCTCTTCTGCATCCCCAAGAGACAAGCAGACCGGCTACACTCTGCTAAATGCTACTTAGGGACCTGCTAACTCCGTGTTCACCAGTTGCTTCACTCTGTTGAAGGGGGGAAAAAAGGGATTTTCTCCTCCAAGACCTCATAACCATAGGTGCGCCTGGCAGAACTCTAGGTCAGTTGGGGTCACAGATCCCAACCCAGGAGCATACACAACAGGGATTATCTAGACCCCAAGTCCTGCCTGCCTGGGTTGTCCACTTTCTCTAGAAGATTGATATTGCTACTTCTGCCCCATGCCCAGGCTCTGAAAGTCCCTCCCCCCCACACACACACCACTTAGGAAGCCGGAGCCAGTGAAACCATCTTTGGTCTGGACTCAAGTCTGCCTGGTCCTGTCTGGGCCCCATCCCTTTAGCCAGGTCTTAGATCAAAACATACAGAGTAAACTCCTGATCGGCCACTCGTCATTAGCCTCCGAGAACACTTTACATACACCCGGTTCCTAGAACAAGTCTGTGTGCTGAGTTACACTTCCGGTCTTCGGGGAGCGCCTGGGTTCAAGATCAGCAGCTGGCCTTAGGCCAGGCACTGGAAGACAGAACTAAGTCTGCTGCTGGCCTGGGTACCTGGGTTGGAGGTGGGGTACATCGCTGGTCTTCAGTTTACACTGGTCTGAAGCTTACTCTGGGGCCCTGAGGGAAGGCGGGTGCAGGCGATACCCCTGAGCCAGGCCTTGCTGGGACTGCGCCATGCTGTGACAGACTAGGGGTCAGGGTGTGGCAGGGCATGGCAGCCACCACGGCAGCTTTCAGACATCACCTCACAAGCCTGCATCTCCCAGGCACCCTCGCTATCCCCTTTCCTGGTGACCCAAGGCCCAGCTGTCAGCAAGAAGTTACCTACACCTGTCTGGGACTTATTTATGTCTCCAGATGGTGCCACTTCAGGGGAGCAGCTACCCACATCCGGTCCCCACCCACTAGGCTGCTGGCCCTCTCTCCTAAGTCACCTCCTGTACCTCCTAAGGAAGACAGCTCCCACCACTTGGCTTGAATGATCCTTCTTCCCTGCTGACCCCTCAGCCTAGCCTTCTGGACACCATCTCTGTGACCACCCACAGCTCTTTGTAGCTATCCCTTCCCTGCCCCCATCCCCATAGGCCCTGGTGGTAGACAGAAGTTACCCATGAGCCTCACCCCATCTCTGGCCCCAGAGACTTTTAATGATGGAGCAGCCCATGTTGCCATAGGGCACCTCAGGATGTTCAAATCCAGCTCCTAGGGACTAGGCCTCATTTATCAGGTAAGGAAGCCAAGACACGTAGTCTGGGCTCTGAGGCTCCCCAGAAAGGAGCAGAGGGCTGGAGAGGTTGCTCAGTGGTTAAAAGGACCCAGCTTCAGTTCCCAGCACCCACTCGGCAACTCACGGCCATCTGTAACTCCACTTCTAGAGGGCAAGATCACGATCAGATCCCTCTTCTGGCCTCCAATGAAACAGACACACATACACGCGGTGCACACACGTATTTGGAAGTAAACAACTCCAAGGGGGAAGAACAGGAGTAGAGTCGGGACAAGGGCACTGAGATGTGGTGGCCTTGCTCACCTGGCTGCCATGCCTCCATCTGGCCTGCAGTCAAGCACAGGTGCATACCACATAGACAGATGTAAACACACCCCGGCAAGTGACATACACCAGGGAAACATGGGGCATCCCGGAGCCCAGCCTTCCTTCGGGTCACCTCTTACTTCCAGAGGACAGACTGCTAAGTCAGAGCTGCTCACCCCAAGTGAGAGGCAGAGACGAAGCATGCCAGGTAGGAGGTCTGGGGCCCCTCCAGAAGCAGGTGTCTGCAGGGTGTCCCCTGCCCATCGTTTGCCTGTCTTATCCCACCCCCAAGCAAGCAATCCTGCCTCCAGCTCTATAGCCTCTCTTGGAAAACTGGAGGCAACAAGATGTCCTTGAGCAGGGAGGGGCCACGGGTGGCCTAGCCAAAGGGCCATACTGACAGGCTCTCCCTGGTGGTGCTGCTGATTTATGAGAGCCTTCTGGGCACCTGACCAAGTCTGTAAGTCACGGAAGATTAGGAGGCGCACTCCAGCCCTCAGCCCTGCCGCCGCAGCCTGTGCCTGGCTTCTAGGGCTCCAGATGTAGCCATACCCTTCAAGTATCTCAGCTCCCATGAATGCTCGTTGGGGCCCTGGGCACGGCCCTGAGCCCAGTTTGCAGATGAGAACAGTGAGGGTCAAGTATGCCACTAACACAGGACAGTGGCTGAAGACCTAGCGACGGTACCCAGGGCTTTCCCCGAGTCACGCCACCTTTGACCTCTTCCAAAGTCACATTGACAGCTTAGGATGCTAACCAGGGTCAGAAGGGGAAGACAGGGAGGTGAGCCACCATGCTCCCCAGTGACCACTGACACTTCAGCAAGAAAGGACCAGCCCTTAGATGCCTATGATTCTGAACCCTGCTGCTGTCCAGCCCAGGGTCTCTGTGTTCCTGGAATTTGGGAGTCACAGCATGTGGAGCTAAAGAGAGCTTCCGAGGTCATTCAGCCACTCAGGACTCTACACAGAACTTCCTCTCCTGTCTTGCATGATGGGGAGACCCCAAAGCATACATCCCGATGTCCCTATCTATAAAGTGCTTAGGAAAGCCACTCTGGGTGCTCCTATGAGTTGAAGGACCACGTTGCCTGAGAGAACCCACTGTATGGATACAGTGTCCCCTCTTGGGACCACCGGTCACATGCAAGTAGTTGTCAGTAGGCTGCATCAGAACTGTTAAGTAGCAACTTCAAGTTGAAACAGCCATGAGCAGGACTACAGAAGACAGGTTGCGTGTGGACTCCAGGTCCATGGTAGAGAATTAGACCGCACACACACACACACACACACACACACACACACACACACACACACGCACGCACGCACGCACGCACACACGGGGGGGGCAAGGATGTGATACGGGACCCTCTGTCTCGGTGATAGCGGAGGTGAAATGGGCAGTTCTAATGGGGGCATTCAGACGGAGGCAATGGGGAGACAGCTCTGAGAGACACCACGAAGGCCCCCTGACAGAGAAAAGAAGTTTCCACTTATGTGCAGGGCTGGGCTAACATGGGCAAGGGGCAGATCCTGGGCACGGTGTGAGGAAGAGCAACCAGCCTAAGTGGGAGCTGTAGCACTGGGTCGGCGCGTGATGAGGACAGGCCGCTGTGGCTGCTGAGGAAAGTGTAGAGTGGGCGCCCTTCCCTGAGCTATCGCCTCAGCCTGCACTTGCGCTTGGTTCCTGTACATCTCCAGGAAGACATACTTCAACTCAACATTGTACTTCAGAAGCTCTGCTTGAACCTAGTGTCCTTTGTGTTCCCCACCCTTCACCCCCCACCCCCCTCCTCAACACCCCCTACCCCTGGAAGTTCCCTGGATGTTCAGGTTCGAGAACTACCAAGTCAAAACATGGGGCAGAAGCAAAGAGGCTGGGACTCCCAGATCTGTCTGGGGCTTCCCTGACAGGATACGGGTGGGAGGGTGGGGCCCTCCTCCCAGCCTGTCACATCTAAATCTGGGGTGACGAGTGGGCGCAGACCCATCATAGCCATCCTGGGCCTGGGCATGACCACACTCATCTCAGTGTCCAGGGCAAAGGCGCCTTGGCCTTGGTCCCACGTAAGTGTGCACATGTGCCCTCCCGGCACACCCCCTTGGGGCCCCACTCAGGGGGAGAGTGTGCCCTACCTTGGACAGCAAGGCAGATGGAGAGGGATAGTATAAACATTTATAGCAAGGCAGACACAACAGTCCATTGTGGCAGCAGCCTGGCTTCCCCCAGCAGGGGAGAGACTGTTGGGGAGCAGGGGAAGCCTGGGCAGCCGCCAGGACCCGCTCGCAGAGGTGTTTTTGTCTGAGGCAGTCTGCATGCTGCTGCCTGCCCTGTCAGTCTGCTACTGAAATTTCCTGTGCCTGTTATTCTCCTCTTCAGGAAGAGACCTGAAACCCAAAACTTTTATTGCTCCTTTAAAAGGACTTTGCAGCTCCCCACAGCTCCCCACCCGCGTCCCAGACCTGCCCTGCTGGAAGAGCTGGGATTGTAGTTAGGGGCAGCATGCTGGGTACTGGGTCTCTGTGGGCAGGCCAACCACAGGGTCTTGGCTGAGGACGGCCAGAAGGGGGGGGGGAGCTGAGGCGCTCGAGTGGCCCAGGACAGCTGGAACAGGTTAGCTGCTCCAAGTGTCCACCCTACCGCCTGGTGAGCTGGCCGGGCCCACGCACGGCGACCCAGGACCACATATCCTAACACTCTAGCTGACCCCAGCCCCCTTTTCTACCTCTGCAAACTGTTTACCTTTAAAAATGGGAGCAGCAGCCTCAGCCCACCGTCCCTCGGAGAGTTAAGTCAGAAACAAGCCGATTTGGAAAAGTGTTAGGAAATTAAAAAGAATCAGAAAGAAGAGGTC